CATCTGCGTCGAGGAGAAGAGAGTTTCTCACGTTGGCAGACCGGATTGAAGAGAAATGAGGCTGGATATGAGGAAAGCATGAGAAAGCTGCAGCAGAAACCTAAGAGAGACATTCTGAGCCTAAATCAGGCCCCAAACACACTGAAACCATCCATTGTGAGATCTGGGAGGCAGTACTCACACAATGCATAGCTCAGAGAGTCCTGGACCAAACTGGGGCAACCCAGTAGGAATAAATGTGTAGTTACAGAGTTTATGAAAAATATGTGAATCACTGACAGACTTTGACAAGACGGTAAAGAAAAAGTCAACAACGGTACTCAGATTTCTTAGAAGAAAAAACAAATGCTCACATACAGTCATTCACTGTGCCTGGAACAGTAGAAGAAGAGAGTGTGTGGAAGATGATGATTTGAAGGTGTGATGGATGAAGGCTGTCCAAAGGATACAGTGGGTTATAAATCAGGAGAGTCTAAGCTAAGCAATGGAGTCTTGAGGAAATCAGTGTACGGGCAATAACAGAAGAAGGAGGAAGTCACCCAAGGTACAAGACCCAAGACTTGTTGGTAAAGTAAAACCTCTGGAGCTAACCAATTTAGAGATGCACATTGACCTGGAAACTAAGATAAGAGCTTATAAAAGCAGGAACAACAAAAGAAGAAGAGTGTCTCTCAAAAAAAATAATCAAAGAGAACAAAAGTTGTAAACAACATTAAAGCTTGGAGAAGATGTCCAGAAAAGTGAAGTTAGAAAGATACATCATCTTCAGACACCAGAGTTGATGGGAGCTGACAGGATCCATCATAGATGAGTGAAGGGCAGGACACAGTTTCTGTGTAGAGACAACGGAAGGGTCAGGACCCTTCTGTGTAAGTACCCGAAGTCTGACTGAACACTCAGCAAGACAGGGTTTGTTGTGTAGCATAAACAGACAGCACGAAGGAGACAGAGTTACCTTCCTCACAGCCACTACCAGACCAAGAGCCACTTAAAAACTGCTCGCACAGGTGGGCTGATGCTGTGTGCATCTCCACTTGCTTTGTGTTCATCTTTTAAAAGTAATTTGTTTAAATCTGTGTGCTGGCCCCGTTCCTTCTTTTGTGGCTGATGTGATCATTAACCTTCATCATCAACTTGACTGGATTTAGAATCCTCTAGGAGCTCACACCTCTGGGTGTGTCTGTGAGGGCATTTCCAGAGAGGAAATAGAACCCAAGACCTATGTAGGTGGCACCGTCCCACATGCTGGGAGCGCAGACTAAATAAAGGGGGGAAAGAAAAAAACAGATGAACACCAGCATTCGTCTCCCATTGCCTCCTTATCAGATGATATGTGAGTGCCTTACATCCCTGCCGCCAGGGACAGGAGCTATCCTACTTACACACCTTCCCTGACATGTTGAACTACACAGTCAAATCATGAACCAAAATCAATCTTCCCTCCCTCAAAACGCTTCTTGATTTGGGCAGAGTGACTAGAAGGGTGACCGTTAGTTACCTAACTCCAAGTACTTTCAGGATCATAGAATTAGAAGAATGGGAAAAATTTTGCTCCAGCAGAGGAAACCACTGAGAATTTGGACTAGCTCATCCTAAGCCACAGGTCTATTCCTAAACCAATCCCCATGGCTAGTGAGTGAAGAATCCAAACTTCCTATCTCAGATGGGCCCCAAGACATGGAACAGACATTTTTATTGATACCTAGTATATCAGACAGTAGGTGAAGGACATTTCTCCAAAACAAGAGAATTTTAGGGGTTGTAATCAGCAGTAAGAGCATTGGCTGCTTTTCCAGAGGACCCAGGTTGACTCCTAATACCTCCCACATGATGATACACAACCCTCTTCTGGCCTGCAAACGAATGGTGCACAGATACACCTGAAGGCAGAACACCTGTGGTGCTGTTCTTGCTTGTCAGTTTGACTACATCTGGAATTAACTGAAACCCCAAAATAGAGCACACCTGTGAGGGATTTTTGCTTAATTTGGAAGACCCACTCCTGGATCCGGATCTTTGGGGTGGGAAGACACACTTTTAATCCAGATCTTTTGAGGTGGGAAGACCCACCTTTAATCTGAGCCTCGACTTCTGCTAGAAGCATATATAAGGACAAGAAAGAAGGAAGGTTGTGATCTTTGTCTGATTGTTCTCATCTTGCTAGCAAGTCCACTCCTCCACTGCACTGGAGCCTACTTCTTCAGGATTCTGGCATATACTGAAGACCAGCTGAGACATCCAGCCTTGTGGACTGAACAACTACTGGATTCTTGGGCCTTCCATTCATAGGCAGCCATTGTTGGATTAGTTGGACCACAGCCTGTAAGTCATTCTAATAAATTCCCTTTATATAATACATAGAGACTAATTCTATAAGTTCTATTACTCTAGAGAACCCTAATACAACACCTATATACATAAAGATAAAATAAACGAGACATTGCAGAGAAATGATAGGTCTGCCATGTTCCATCCCTTAGCTATTCAGCAAGCCTACTTTTAGTGCCAAACCAAGCCACTCAATATGGCACAATTATTGTATTTACAAGTTCTGAAAGAGGAACAACCAAATGTCATGACATTATCTCATCCAGCCCCAAGTCCATACCATTTCAATTTCAAGTCTTTTTACTTCATAAGTATGGAACCTATGCATGAATAATCCATGCAACCCATCCCTCAAATGCAACCCATCCCTCAACAGATACAAATGAGGAAGGAAAACAAGAGCAACCTGAACTAAAATCACCTAGCAAAGGAAAGAAAAGCCAATGAGCAGCAGCCATCACCCTATAGCAGGGGGCGTGGGAAGTTCTCCTCGTGTCGAGGAAGTAGAATACTTCTATCCTGCCCACTGGATAGAAGTCTTCTTTCACACACTGCCCTCCCTGGCAAAACCTGAGGGGATATGGAAGAATGGTCCCTTCTAGGGAACCAGACTTCTTTAGTCGATCACTTGCTATTGACTGAATTTATGAGAGGCAGAATCCAGGGTTGCCTTTGAGACTGAGGTAGCATAAGAACTCACTTGCCTAACCTAGAAATTTCACTGATAATCAAGTCCCCTAAAAGTCTAGTAGGTATCAGAACTTTTTGGCAAGTCCTGGGGATTGAACTTAGGTCACCAGGCTTGGCAACAAGCTCCTCTACCCAATGAGCCATCTAGGCAGCCTCTGAGTATACCCTTTTAAATCTGATTTGATTCAAAAGTCCTTCTTTCTGTCTTATTTTTAGAAACATGAAAATAACTCGCAGTTCCATGAAATGTAGCACTTAATTGAACTTTAAAATTTAAAACCTTTTTCAAGGCTACTGGGTGATGATGAACTTGATAGACAGATTGCCTTGAAATTGAGGTCCTTCATAGAATGTTAGATAGTGCTAAAAATCAGGAAGGAAAATGAAGGCAAAGAAGGGACACAGCCAAGAGGCGTGGCTTTGTAAAGGAGTCGCTGTGAAAGTGATGTTTGAAGAAAGACCTGGGTGAGCTTGTGGTGGTTTGAAGGAAAATGGCCTCATAGGCCCTTATGTTTGAATGCTTTAGCCTCAGTTAGTAGAAATGTTTGGGAAGGATTAGAAGGTGTGGCCTTGTTGGAGAAAGCCTGTTACTTATTAGGGGTGGACTTAGAGATTTCAAAAGCCCATGCCAAGCCCTGCTGTGTAGTATTTTGTTTGTGTTCTGACAAACAGAGCTCGCCTGGAGATCAGAGGGCGGAGCTAGCCACTAGATAACCATAGAGGCCAGGCCGTGGTGGTACACGCCTTTAATCCCAGCACGAGGGAGGTGGAGACAGGACATCGGGTCCATTCAGTCTGAGGATTCATAGAGACAGGATGCCACGAGGGAGGTGGAGACAGGACATCGGGTCCATTCAGTCTGAGGATTCATAGAGACAGGATGCCCTATTCCTCGGAGATTTCGTAGAGGTAAGAAATTTCTGGTGGCTGGTTGCTCTGCTTCTCTGATCTTTCAGCTTTCACCCTCGAGATCTAACTCCAGGTTTTTTGGGGTTTTTTTGGTTTTTTTTTTTTTTTTTTTTTTTTTTTTTTTTTTTGGTTTTTCGAGACAGGGTTTCTCTGTGTAGCTTTGCGCCTTTCCTGGAACTCACTTGGTAGTCCAGGCTGGCCTCGAACTCACAGAGATCCGCCTGGCTCTGCCTCCCGAGTGCTGGGTTTTTTTGGTTTTTTGAGACAGGGTTTCTCTGTGTAGCTTTGTGCCTTTCCTGGAACTCACTTGGTAGCCCAGGCTGGCCTCGAACTCACAGAGATCCGCCTGGCTCTGCCTCCCGAGTGCTGGGATTAAAGGCGTGCGCCACCACCTGCCCGGCCTAACTCCAGGTTTTTATTGTTAAGACTAATTAGGATCAGGCTTCAAGGTCTAGTCTTGCTCCCCACGTCCAATTGGCAGATAAGATGTAAGCTCTCTGCTATAGCTCCAGGGCCATGCCTGCCTGCTGCCATGCTCCCTGCGGTGATAGTCAGGGGGCTCACTCTATGAAAAATGTAAGCAAGACCCCAATTAAGTGCTTTCTTTTATATGTTGCTTTAATCATGGTGTCTCTTCACAGCAATAGAAAAGTAACTAATACTAATACCTTTAATCCCAGCACTCGGGAGGCAGAGGCGGGCGGATCTCTGTGAGTTCGAGGCCAGCCTGGGCTACAGAGTGAGTTCCAGGAAAGGCGCAAAGCTACACAGAGAAACCCTGTCTCGAAAAACAAAAACAAAAAGTAACTAATACAAGGTAGCGTTAACAAACGGAAAATATGAGGGGAGAGTATTCCAAAGAGAGTACCGCAAATGAGATGATCCTCATACTGACACCAGCCACACCTGACTGAGAAATAACAAGTAGAGTGAGTGGACAATGCCGGAGACCGGAGGGGGCAGATACTTCAGTGACGGAAAAGTTTCCTTAGCTGGGGGGCATTTAGACTATTTCCAATATTTTTATTTTATGAGTCTATCCCGAACACTTCAAAATTTCTTCTTGAGTCTAGAAAGCCTGCGTGGAGGGAGAGCTCGGGAGGCGGCTCCGGGGAGGAAGGTTCCTCAGGCCGCCGTGCCTCCCCGCTTCTGCCCGGCTGGCGGCGCTGCGTGGACGACAGAGCCCGTCCTCTGAGGCCCACTTCCGCTCGCTCGCACGCACCGGGCCGGGGGAGCCGAGAGAGGGCCGCAAGATGGCGGCCGCCGGAGAGGGCCGCAAGATGGCGGCCGCCGGGGAGGGCCGCAAGATGGCGGCCGCCGGGGAGGGCGGCAACATGGCGGCCGCCGGGCCGGCCGCGCGTCGCCCAGAGACAATGAGCCGCAAGAAGTACCAGGCCGCCCTGAAGAAGGAGAAACGGCGGCAACGGAGGCAGGAGCTCGCTCGACTGAGAGACGCAGAGCTGCCGTCGCAGCAAGAGGAGGAAGACGACGCTTCTGCCGAGGAAAGGCGATTGGCAGAAGAAAGGCTGGCGGAGGAGGAGAGGCAGAAGTCACACGAAGAATGGCTGCTGAGGGAAGAGAAGGCCCAGGCGGAGTTCCGGGCGAAGAAGGAGAGAGAGGAGGCAGCCCGAAGGCGGAAGGAGGAGCAAGAGAGAAAGTTAAAGGCCGAATGGGAAGAGCTGCAGAGAAAGGAGCGGGAGGAAGAGGAGCAGAAGCAACAGGAGACGAGGGAACGGGAGGAAGCCGCGCGGCAGATGCTGGATCGGGCCGGGAAGGAGTTGGGGGCCGCTGGCCCCTGGCAGAACCCGGAGCCGCCCGCGGGCGTCAGGGTGCCGGAGAAAGACCGAGCCAACTGTCCGTTCTACAGCAAAACCGGGGCTTGCAGATTCGGCGAGCGCTGCTCGCGGACACACAGCTTCCCCGCCTCGAGTCCCACCCTGCTGGTGAAGAGCATGTTTACCACGTTTGGAATGGAGCACTGTCGGAGGGACGACTATGACCCGGATTCCAGCCTGGAGTACAGCGACGAGGAGACCTACCAGCAGTTCCTAGACTTCTATCACGACGGCCTGCCCGAGTTCGGGAAGGTGGGGAGAGTGATTCAGTTTAAGGTCAGCTGCAACTTGGAACCTCACCTGCGGGGCAACGTGTACGGTCAGTACCAGTCGGAGGAAGACTGCCAAGCAGCCTTCTCTCTCTTTAATGGGCGATGGTACGCGGGACGACAGCTTCAGTGCGAATTCTGCCCAGTGACCCGCTGGAAAATGGCAATCTGTGGCTTATTGGAAGTACAGCAGTGTCCAAGAGGAAAACACTGCAACTTTCTTCACGTGTTCAGGAATCCCAGCAATGAATTTAGGGAAGCTAATAGAGACATCCACCTGTCGCCAGATTGGCCTCGCTCCTCCCTCGGTAAGAATTTGGAGAGGAGGGAAAGGACCAGCCACCATGAACAACACTATGGAGGGTCAAGACAAAGGAGCCTGAGTCCAGACCTCTCCTACGAGAGGAACGGCGAGTCTGACAGGAAGAGCGATAGTAGTCACAGGGGGAGGAAGTCTCACAAACACGTGCGGAAAAGTCGTGAGAGGCGCAGGTCACTGAGCAGAGGACGAAGAAGGGATCACAGTCCCGGCCCCTGGAGCAAGAGCCGGAGGAGTCGCAGGAGCCGGAGCCGAAGCCAGAGCCGGAGCTCATCAAGGTCCAGGAGTCATGGCAGGAGGCAATCAGGTAGTAGAGACAAAACCACCCAGAGTCCCAAACCTAAATAAACTTGGTTGTTTTCAAATATCAGTCTGTTTATGGCAGTCACTCACCTGTATAGTTTGACCAGACTAATCAAACACTATTGTGTAAATCATACTTTTTGATAAATTGTTTATATAATAATATGAAATTATTTGTAACTTTGAGAGCGTCAGGGTTTTTGTTGTTGTTGTGTTTTCTGTATCTCTCTCTCTGTCTCTGTCTCTCTGTGTGTGTGAGAGAGTGTGTGTGTATCACAAGTACAGAGGTCAAAGGACAATTTTCAGGAGTCAGTTACACAGTGAAATCCAGGGACAGAACTGAGGTCATGAGGCTTTCACACCAAGTATCTTTACCCTCTGAGCCGTCTTGCCCGCCCACCTTTATTCTTGTTAAGTGTCCATACCCTTTGTTTTTGCCTTATGCATATGGGTATTTTGCCTGCATGTATTTGTATGCATCACATGTGTGCCTAGTGCCCATGGAGGCCAGAAGATGGTGTCAGACCCCCTGAACTGGAGTTATAGAGGGTTGTGAGCTACCTTTGGGTGCTGAGAACCGGACACAGGTCCTCTAGAAGTGCTCTTAACCACTGAACCATCTCTCCAGCCCAACACACTTTAATTTGAGCTCAAAAGTCACATATGGCTTTAATGTTTTTCCCTCAGTTGTCTCATTTCAACAATTCTCATTCTTTAGTCCCATAATTCTTATTTTTACTCACAACATAGAGAATACATCTACGTTTATTTGATGGTATACCTATTGTTGGATTTTCAAAGATGATCCTCTTAACGATTCCACACATTTTGATCAGTTTCTTAGAATAAACTATATCAAGAAAGCAATCCCAATTGCCTTCCAGGAAGACGACAAACAAAGTTACCTTACAGCTCCACAGCACAAAGTTATCTTGATCTTTACCAGTTTGGCAAGTTCAGGTATTTAAGTACTTGTTTTTATTATCACTACTTTTTCTACTTAATGGCCATTTTTTTTTTTTGCTCTCAAACTTATTTCCTGTTTCAGAGTGTTGCAGTACCCATTTCCAGACTCCTCTTTCCCCATATCTACAGCCCCTCCTTCACCTGGGGCTGTCGTGGTATATATCTTATTTGAATAGTGTGTTGTGACAGTTCTTTATATAGAGACATTTTGTCATTTCCCAGAAAATTAGTCACTATTGACTCCATGCACTGTTGAAACAGTCCTGGTATAACAATCACTGAAGAGTGATCAATGAAGAGAACTGAATGTAGAATCATGTATATGATCCCTAGCTTTCCCAAAATGATCTCCTCTCACAGACTTTCACTGTCATGCTCTGGACTTCAACATTCAGTGTCACATGGTATTTAGGAATCTGACATTTGAGAATTCATTAAAGATGCATACAAGTCTTGTGTGGTGGCTTATCCCAGTAATCCCTGCACTTGGGAGGCTGATGCCAGCCAGGGCTAGAGTGGGACCCTGCCTCATTTTAAAAAAAAAAAACAGGCACAAAATATTGAAAAAGTTTAACAAAATGCAATTTGTTTCAATTCTAAATGCCTACTTTGTACTAAAAATGATGGATTTCTAGATTCACTGGGTTCATTAATGCTAAATAGTTTTAAGCAAATTTGGTATTTTTAAAATACTGTACAAACCAGCCAAGATGATGTAAAAATTGTTTTGTATGTGTGATGCTGGGGCTTCAAACATAGTTGGCAGGGGCGCTACCACTGAGGTCCATCCCCAGTCCTAAAGCTGAATATTTAGATCATGATGGGAAAGAAAGGAAGATCCATCTTCATGGGTCCAAAACACCTGAACAAGTGATGACTTTCCCCTCGAATGTTAATGGCCAGTCTGGAGTGCAGGGGGAGTTTAGAAAACCTCTGCCTGGGTCATTCCCCTGAGAGTGACTTTGAGCTTACATTTTTTATAATGTATGGATGCCTGTGTGTGTCTGTGATAAACTACTTACGATTCAACTCCACATTACTGATAGAAGCTCACAGGCTTTTTAGTGAGCAGCTGCATTCACAAAAGTCCTTTAAACCTACAAATGTCTGTTTCAACTTAATTTGCTGAGAATCCTTTCCTTGTTCTTAAATATCTCCAGCTTAGAATGCAACAGTTTCTGTTTGCAGTAGCAGAAGACCCCATAACCATACTAGTACTGTAACTGCAAGTTTGACTTGTTGCTTACATTAGGCAGCAGTCAGCAGATCTGTTCCTCATACATAAGAAGTGAGGATTCACCATTTGGATATCATTGATTATCTGGAGAAATCCGAATTGCTAAATCAGGAAGCATAGAAAAGGCAGCCGCATCAAGGGTTTAAGAGCAGCATTTATTAATTGAAAATAAATGTGTTGTAAGTTCTTGATTAAAAAAAAAGAGTACTGAATAATCTGAAGTAAACTTATTTTTATCTGCTATACCTGGGAGGGGCATGAAAACACACTCCAAGAACAATTCCATGTTTTGAAGAAACTGAGGTCACAAGACTCTTGTCTTATTTTCTTGGAATTTTCTCACAAGCACTCAGAATTTTCCTCACATGACTTTATTCTTGGACCATGTTCCGACAGACATGCTATCATAGAGGAGGGATATCTCATGGGGCCCCACCTCTAAACAAAGAACTACAGGGAACTAATGACTGCTGAGTGAGGGAGAATTAGTTGTCCCCAGGGATAAGCCCCCAAACTGGTTATCCAATTCCAAGTGGTCATTCCTGAGAGCATATATGTACGAGAACACTAAACAGACTGAACAGGTTGTATTTATTTATCCATGCATTTACATATATATGTAATTAAAGAAAAAGAGGCCATGAATCTTAGAGGAAGCAAGGTAGGGTACAAGGAATTAATGGGAGAGAGGAAAGAGAAGGGGGGAAATGATGTTATTGTGTCTTCATTTTAAAAATAGAAATATATTTATTTAATTATTTAAAAAGACATTTCACCTTTAACCTTTACAAAAAAAAATCTCAGCTTGTAGAGCTGTCTCCCCTCTGCACTGTAGACAAATGAGGAGATCCCAGAGAGTGGCAATCCACAGAAAGACATGACTTACACGTGGCCAGCAGGCCTTGCCCTTGCCTTAAGGGTCTTTTCTCACACCCATCTGCCTTGTTTCCCATAATAGGAGCATGTGAATCTACAGTCCCAGATAATCTTAGCGATCTACTGTAGGGATCCCCTAATTCCCCTGGGTTTTCTCCGACATTAGACACACACGTCACTAAACTTGTTTGCTTTTCTCATATCAGTCTGTCTTTTTTAACAAGGAGTCTTTGCTAAAGAACACACAAAGGTTGGGAAGGAAATCATTTTTCCTCCTCTATACTTTTATGCAGTGTTTATCATTAACTTTCCCCATTGTTTACTTAAACAACAGTAATAGTTTATCAGTTTACACAGTCTCTTTGTCAGCTTGTTAAACCTCACCTGTCCTTTTTACACAGTCTTCCAGAGTAATACGTAGAAGCAGTCCAGCGCACTATCTGGTGGCCTGACTATATTTCTGATCCACCCTTATCTTTAATGTATCTTTAATGTATCTTTAATGATAGGATATCTGAAAACCAAAAGTTCCTCTTCTGGTGGGCTAGTCCAAACTAGTTCAACCTAAGAGAGCTGCCAGAATAGCCACCGAATGGCCTGCAACTTTCCCACAATTTGATTCCCATGCTAAGTGATACATCCTCCACTGAGGTGACTGGAATACCAGACCATAAACGAGCTCCTGATGGGAAAAGACTGGGGACATCTCAGAGATAGAGACAGACCAGACTACCAGACTGAGACATTTACATATTATCTCCAATATATTGTCACCATCGGAGAAAGAATTCATACATGAGACAAAGCCAAATATAGCAAGCAAAGATTGCTAATTTGTGAAAATGCACACTTAAGAAGAGCCTGGGTTTCCCCACAGCTCCAGAGAAGCTAGCTAACAAGGAAGACCCTAAGAGGGACACATAGATCACCCGGCGAAGAAGAAATAAATGAGATCCACATGAGCAAACTGGGGGTGAGGGGGTGGGTAATGGAGGGCAAGGGATGGGGGATGAGAACCTAAGGGAACAGGAGGTTCGAGCTGGAACAGGGACAGAGTAGGAGAGCAAGGAAAGAGATACCATGATAAATGAAGACATCATGGGAACAGGGGGAAACAGGGTGCCAGGGAAGTTCCCAGGAATCCACAAGGATGACCCTACCTTAAACTACTAGCAATAGTCGAGAGGGTACCTGAACTGGCCTACTCGGGCAATCAGATTAGTGAATACCCTAACTGTCACCATAGAACCCTCATCCAGTAACTGTTGGAAGCAGATGCAGAGATCCACAGCCGGGCTCCAGGCCGAGCTCCAGGAGTCCAGTCGATGAGAGAGAGGAGGGATTCTATGAGCAAGGGACATCGAGATCATGATGGGAAACGTACAGATAGAGCCAGCCAAACTAGTGGAAACTCATAAACTGTGGACCAGTAGCTGTGGAGCCCCCATGGGACTGGACAAGGCCCTCTGGATAGGCGAGACAGTTGTGTAGCTTGAACTGTTTAGGGGGCCCCTAGGTAGCAGAATCAGGATCCATCCCTAGTGCATGAACCAGATTTTTGGAGCCCAATGCCTATGGTGGGACACCTTGTGCAGCCTTGATGCAGGGGAGAGAGGCTTGGACCTACCTCAACTGAATGTACCAGGCTCTGCTGACTCCTCATGGGAGACCTTGCCTTGGAGGAGGTGGGGATAGTGGGTGGGCTAGGGAGGAAGGCTGGGGGGGGGGGGGGCGGGAGGAGGGAGGAGAGGGGGATCTGTGGTTGGTGTGTAAAATGAATAGAAAATTTCTTAACAACAAAGAAAGAGCGTGGGTTTCCTTGGTGGGCTTTTTTAGTGGGCTTACTAGCCACTCCGGGGGCTGTTGTATATGGTTACGTAGGTTTTGTTTAAGATTTATGTATATGTGGGGTGTGTGTGCATGTGAGTGTAGGTGCCCAGGGAGTCCAGAAGAAAGGGGTATCAGA